AGGGCCCGAAGGAACGGCATGGAGCTGTGCAGGGGAGAGGTAGGGAGGGTGTTAGGGAAAGATTCTTCACCAAAGGGCAGTTGGTTTGGAGCAGGCTCCCCAGGGCAGTGAGCATGACTATACTGGAGTTCAAGGGGTGTTTGGCTCTCAGACACAGGGTTTGAATTTTGAGCGGACTTGTGTGGAAGGAATTGGAATCAGTGATTCTTGTGAGTTCCTTCCAACCCAAAGTATTCTTTCATTCTGTGATCCAATATGGAGCATGTTAAGGATGTTTTCATACTATATGGAGCTGGGAGTGACTGCAAGTGTGATGGAGAATGGGAAAGTGATACCTCTGGAGCAATGCAGCCTGTGTCATTAGGTCAGCAGGATAGTAGCATACAGTGGGTCATAGATTAAAATAGGATTTTACTGTTGGGAAAAAACCAAAAGCACTAAGGTTTGGAAGTCACATGAAGCAACCTCTGTTCTTCTCAGCACTGGCAGCTCACCACCACTGCTCCTTATTAGGCTTTGAGCCTAACTGATTTGGGGATCAAATTTGAGGGAGTTAAGAGAGCATCAGTGGTCTAGAAAATGATTTCAAATAAAAGACTGAAATCATCAGAATTGGTTAGGCAGAAAATTACATGCTTAAGTTGCAAAGGAGATAGTCTCTTTTTTCTAAAGTCACAAGAAAATAAAATTTGGTAATTGAGAAACTTTTTCCCATGCTAGAAGCAGAGGAATGCTGAATTGGAGAAGACAGACTTGACAGAAATCTTTCTGCTGTGGGTAAATGTCTTTCTTTGGTGATAAAGGAAAGATTTAGGTGGTGACTTCAGGTCGTGTTATGTGATTGTTACTAAGTTAATCCCATCACATCTATTACTATCACTTGCATGTTTGAAAACAATACCTTCAGGTAAGCAAAAACTTTTTATGTCCAAAGATATTTTATAATTCTGATCAGAGAGGAGTCTAAAAGTGGTTTTATTCTTTTTGATAGCATCACAGCTGCTTAAGAAAATTGTGATATTCATCTACCTACGGGGGAGAGCCCAGTGTACAAGTTTGTCTGAGTGAAGTCCATCCAGCTCAGAACTAGCTGTTGAGAAAGGACTGTTGCCACAGATGTAGAATATTAGTGTGTGTGGCATGTTTTTCCTGCCAGCGCAGTTTGGAGATGTCTTGAGGTGGGCGTTCTGTGTGTAAGATTTGTTTTATGAATTTTTGTAATAATTTTTGAACTTGTTTGTCTCAAAATATCTTTTGGAATTAAATTCATTCAATTATTTACTTGGTGAAGAAGTACTTAAGAGCATCTTTTTAAAGTTTCATTTTGTGTTCCCACATTCTTGTGGGAAGCAATTCAGACATCTGATATATCATGCCACTTTTTGCTATCACTTTTTTTTGTACTTTGATCTGACATATCGTTGTTACCTGTTTTGCAAGCTAAAAAATTCTCTTTACTTTCTTTGTGCAGAAGCTGTTCCATACTCTGATCAATATTGCCTATACATCATGTTCTTCATAAGACAGAATAGAGAGAGAGGAACACCGTTCCCACCAGCAATCTAAGAATATATTCTCTGATGTTCTCTCTTCCCTTCATATCAGAGAATATATTCTCCGATACACTGGATATCTCCAAACCTGACCACTTCAGAGCGCTGAACAAATGTTTTTGAAGGTCTATGCTCAGAGACAGTATTCTCCTGTGTGATGTTAAGCAACCTAGAATGCTACACAGCATTTACTGATCGTTACTTCACCTGCTGTTTTACTTGCCTGTTTCTCGATATTCAGGAGTTTGTCTGCAGGAGTTTGTCATGTAGCATCAGTTTTGATTACTTATATTTGTACTGTTTACAAGCTTAAGCACAGATATAATATGATATAGTAGATATTTAGGTGACCAGTCCAAATAGATGAACGTAGCCTGGCACAGATTCTGATGATGCTTCTGCCTCCCTCCCCTGAGGAACTCTATTCCTTATTCCTGATTACAAGGGCTTCCCTTCTGTAACAATTTCCTAGTAGATAATACAGCTGAAACTTTTCTGTTATGTTTTCTTTGCTGCCGTGTCTAGCACTTTTGTCTATCAGCTGCTTGATTTCCCAAAGAACTCTTTGAATTGCAGTGCATGACTTCTGTTTACAATCTAGTGTTTTTCTCACCATATTCCAGATTACAGATTCTTTAGCATGATTTTAACACCTTCTCCAGTATGAAAGTCAGACTTTGTACTTTTCCATGTTAAGTTCTGAAAATAAAAAAAGGGTTTATTTTCTGCTCTCCATCCTTCTTTACATTACTGGTCAGTAGTCACTTTAAGCCTAGGTTTTTGTAGAATTAGTAATTCAACAATTTCATACTTGGTACTGCAACACTTCTATTAAATAGTAGCTGCTTCTTGTGAATTCTTACTATTAATTTGTTATTTTTAAATGTTCTTATGATACTTCAGGATGCCCCAAGATCTGATTTGTGAATTGCTTTGACTTCCTCAGCCATAATGAAGAAAACAAAAGTTGATCTAGATTTTCTTCTCTACCTTATCATCCTTTAATTCTCTCTTTTGTACCTTCATTGTCCAGTGGTTTATTGCATTGAGGAAGCAAGCTGTCTGTACCTTTTAGTTTCTACTGTGTAGGAGGCCAGAAATAGTAATAGTATTTTGTCGCTGTCTTATAGGCAGCTATATGATTAGTTTACTGACAATTTTTTTTTTTTTTTTTTTCGTGTAGTGGTTCGTATGCTTCTATCATTTAAACAAGTATTGGAGAGGTTTTCTGCTACCAATTTCAAATTCTACAAATGTCCTCCATGTAGGTGTAAACAAGCACATAGACATGAAGTCAGTAGTAACCAGAATTACAAAAAGGAAAAAAAAAAGGTAGCGTACTTTATTTTTGTAGAAATAGGCAGAAAAACCTCTTTTCTGACATGCTGAATAATATCGCGTTAAAAAAAGATGCGAATTTTACCTCTGTGCAGAGAATGGAAAATGTAGCTTGTCTCTGTTTCAGTAACTGTGGTCTGTTTTATTTAGAAATAGAATTTTTGGAAAGAATTATTTTAGCATATGTGATTTTTTTTTTTTTTTGACAACTGCCTTCATTCGGATGTTCATGTTCTATCTGAAGCAAGAAAAAGGCAAGAAAAGTTTTTCTGTCTAGTGGAATGCTGTCATTTCTAATTGGCTTATATTTGTGATGGTAGAATAGAAGCCAAATTTATGAGAGCTGTTTTGAAGGTAATGCCTCCTATTTTATGATGTTGGCCCAAGGTGTCAGGGGTGATATCACTAAGAAGAGGTTGAACCTTCCCACCAATATTCTGGTGTATATTTTTTTTTACCATATGACAGATGGTAGCAGAGGGGCAGTCTGACAAAATTGTGTCTGACACGGAATTGAGTATGAAACAAAGTTGTGTCACTGAATTCATCCAAGGAGAAAATATGGCACCTATCGACATTCATCATCAACACTTGCTGAATGTTTAAGGAGGTCAAATAGTGGATGTGAGCACAGTGAGGTGGTAGGTGGTGCATTTCAGCAGTGACCAGACTCCTCTATTTCAGACTTTCATAAGCATGGCATGCAGGTTCTTGTTCATTGCTGGTGAACATGCCCAGCTCATGGTGGCTACTTTGTTGAAAATTAATGCTTTGTAGCTGAGAATTTGCTCTGTCAAAAAGTGTTCTTGTGTTCTTTGTATTGGTTGTAGTTTCAGGGGAAATAAGTGGCAGGCAGTACTTTTGGAGCAGCTTAGGTATTCTAATGTTTTGCTCTTGGTATTTTGCTCTTGGTAATTGCTGGTGGAGACTCTATTTTATGTTCTTAAATCTTGTGCTTTGCAACTTCTTGCAAGTATTCACTTCTATTAAAGATGGTGAATGCTGCAGCGACTCTCATTTAGTGCATTTCTTCCTCCTTTCAAACAACAGCCCATGACTGTTGTTTTCCTTGCAGCAATTGAATGTAAGCATTACTTACAATCTTTCCTATTTTTGGTCATGGAGAATGAAAGTTTTGTATTTATGTTAGGCAGCACTGTTTCTAGAATGTCACTAAGTAACGAGAAAGGAATACTAAATAATATCTGCTTGAATGATATTTGTTCACATTCTGTCCTTTCGTAAGATTTAAAACATGTGTTCTATTACTAATGCTTTGTTTTAAAGTTAAAAAATAATGTACAAAAGATTCCTGATGTAATTTTAAAAAGATATGAGATTGTGTGCAGATGCTTAGGATGAGTCAAAATATACGGAACAGCTTGCACTTGCAAGCTACATGCAAACCATCTTTCTTATTCCTTTTATATACTTATTTAATATAAAACCTCAAAGATTCAGCCTTGTGTTGCTGTTTGCTTCACCAAGATTGCAGGTCAGAGTTGCAGCTTTAAATTTGAGTGCTATAGTCTTTTCAACTGTTTGTCTTTTTGCTATTGTGGATATTACAGTAGCTAGAAATTTCTGTGTTTGTTTGATCATTTTCTCATGTTGCTGTTTGTTTTATTACTTTCTCGTGAAAATGTTCCTATTAAGTTTTTCTTGCAAATTTTGTCAGGGAAGAATGGCATTGAGTTTTAGTTTCCTGTGCTTTCATTTTTCTTATTGGTGTTTTTTTGCCCCTGCTCTTATCAAGAGTAGAGTGCAGCAATAAGTTAATTTGTCTAATTTTCCAGCCTTAGTACTCTGTTTCAATAGAAAAAGAGTTTTTCCAAAAAGAAAAGTTAACAAATATGCTTTAGTTACTTGTGTGTAGAAAAAATACTTCATCTCTCAAAACTGGCATAAAGTGGTAGCACATGACTTCTTGCAGTCATTTAAGAAGTCTTCTGAATTTTTTGTTTTCCTCGACTATATATTTTTTGTTTTTTAAATATTTTCTGTGATTAGAAACTGAAAATGGAAAGCAATGTATCTAGTTCTAATTTTGCAACATATTTTAAAAATGCTGAAATAAAACCCAAACTATATGATCTCTTTTTATTTCAGAGAGCTCACTGAAAGTGAAAGTATATTTCTGAAAGTGAAAATCAGAGGAAATAGCAGCTGATGTAAGAAGTATACTAAGGATCGTTACTTGGGGATATTTTTTAAGGTACGTGCTCTATATTTTGTAGAAAAGTAATCCTAAAAATAAGCTGCTTGTTTTGCCGTGGGTAAAGTAATATTTCATACTTATTTTGGAATGATTAGGCTGGATTTATGTTGCTCCTTTGGATGTTTATTGGTGACAATAGCTCTGTGGAAGCATTAGTTCATTTCAGCTGTCTTTGTACACTTAGCATCAAATGTGTGTGTGAATAATGTTCTGTGTATATGGTTAGCATAAAGAAATGATGTTTTGTGTTTCATTATGTAAATTCTGGGAGTAGTTCCTATACTATTAGAAATTCAATAGTCTAATTTTTATTTAGTATGTGGATGGAGGGCTATGAATGATGTGTTTCCCTGTTTTAATGTAGAATAACTAGAATAAGCCTCACAGGTGGACTGTGTAATAAATGGAGCACTTTTTATAAAATTGCTTTAAAATTTCTGTGGAATCCTTGAATTTGAGTATGTATTTCTCCTGAATTCAAGTCCTCCTTTTTCTGTTTTTTTGCAGTACTGTTAACATTTCGCAATACTGTTAACATTTCATCCTATACTTGATGCAGCAGGGAATGTGGCCACTGAGGACAAGGAGAAGGCTGAGGTCCTCAATGCCTTCTTTACATCTGCCTTTAATAGCCAGATCAGTCTCCTCTGGGCTTTTTATGCCCTGATCTGGAAGTCTGGGACCCTACTCAGAATCCACCCCCAGCGATTCAGGTGGAGACAGTCAGTGAGCTCCTCTTCCAACTGGACTGTCACAAGTCCATGGGACCGGATGGGCTGCACCCTTGGGTGCTGAGGGATCTGGCGGGGGTGATTGCTGAGCCCCTCTCAGCCATCTGTCAGCGCTCCTGGTTAACTGGAGAGGTCCCGGAGGATTGGAGGCTTGCTGTGACTCCCATCTTCAAGAAGGGCCATAAGGAGGATCAGGGGAACTGTAGGCCTGTTAGCCTGACCTCGGTACTAGGGAAAGTATGGAGCAAATCATCTTGGATGAGATCACAAGACATGTACGTGGTGTCCAGGGGATCGATCAGGCCCCGCCAGCATGGGTTCGTGAAAGGCAGGTTGTGCTTGACCAACCTCATCTCCTTCTATGACTGGGTGACCAGTCTGGTAGATGAGGGAAGGGTTGTTGATGTAGTCTGCCTAGACTTCAGCACAGCCTTTGACACAGTCTCTCACAGGTGTCTTCTGGGGAAGCTGGCTGTCCGTGGTCTCAACAGGTGTACACTTCTTTGGGTAAGGAACTGGCTAGAGGGCCATGCCCAGTGGGTTATGGTGAATGGATTTAAGTCCAGCTGGCGACCTGTTTCAAGTGGTGTCCCCCAGGGGTCAGTACTGGGGCCCATCTTAATATCTTTATTGTTGACCTAGATGAGGGGATTGAGTGCACCCTCGGTAAACTTGCAGATGACACCAAGCTGAGAGGTGGTGTCAATCTGCCTGAGGGTAGGGCGGCCCTTCAGGGGGATTTAGACAGGTTAGATCACTGGGCTGAGGTGAACGGGATGAGGTTCAACAAGGCCAAGTGTTGGGTCCTGCACTTTGGGCACAACAACTCCATGCAGTGCTACAGGTTTAGGGCAGAGTGGCTGGATGACTGTGAAGAGGGAAGGGACCTGGGGGTGTTGGTTGATGCTCGGCTGAACATGAGCCAACAGTGTGCCCAGGTGGCCAAGAGGGCCAACGGCATCCTGGCCTGCATTAGCAATGGTGTGGCCAGCAGGAGCAGGGAGGTGATCATCCCCTGTACTCATAGAATCATAGAATCATAGAATCACCAAGGTTGGAAAAGACCTAAAAGATCATCCAGTTCAACCGTTCACCTATTCCCAATAGCTCCCACTAAACCATGTCCCTCAACACAACATCCAGCCTTTCCTTGAACAGCCCCAGGCTCGGTGACTCCACCACCTCCCTGGGCAGTCCATTCCAGTGCCTGACCACCCTTTCTGAAAAGTAATACTTCCTAATGTCCAGCCTGAATCTCCCCTGCCGTAGCTTGAAGCCATTCCCCCTGGTCCTATCACTAATGATAAGAGAGAAGAGGCCGACCCCCAGCTCACTACAACCTCCCTTCAGGAAGTTATAGAGAGCAATGAGGTCCCCCCTGAGCCTCCTCTTCTCCAGGCTGAACATTCCCAGCTCCTTCAGCCTCACCTCATATGGCCTGTGTTCCAGACCCCTCACCAGCTTTGTTGCCCTCCTTTGAACACGTTCCAGGGCCTCAATATCTTTCTTGCAGTGAGGGGCCCAAAACTGGACACAGTACTCGAGGTGCGGCCTCACCAGTGCTGAATACAGGGGAACAATCACCTCTCTGCTCCTGCTTGCAACGCTGTTTCTGATGCAAGCCAGGATGCCATTGGCCCTCTTGGCCACCTGGGCACACTGCTGGCTCATGTTCAGCCGAGCATCAATCAATACCCCCAGGTCCATTTCCTCTACACAGTCCTCCAGCCACACCGCCCCAAGCCTGTAGCGTCGCCTGGGGTTGTTGTGGCCGAAGTGCAGGACCCGGCATTTGGCCTTGTTGAAACTCATCCTATTGGCTTCAGCCCAGCTCTCCAGCCTGTCCAGATCCCTCTGTAGGGCCTCGCTACCCCCAGGCAGATCCACACTTCCAGCCAATTTGGTGTCATCTGCGAATTTACTGAGGGTGCACTCGATGCCCTCATCGAGGTCATCAATAAAGATATTGAAGAGGACAGGCCCCAGCACCGACCCCTGGGGAACACCACTCACAACCGGTCGCCAGCTGGATTTGACTCCATTCACCACCACTCTCTGTGCCCGGCCCTCCAGCCAGCTCCTTACCCAGCCAAGAGTGTATCCATCCAAGCCTCTGGCTGCCAGCTTCTGCAGGAGAATGCTGTGGGAGACAGTGTCAAAGGCTTTGCTGAAGTCTAGGTAGACCACATCAACAGCCTTTCCCTCATCCACCAGATGGGTCACTAGATCATAGAAGGAGATGAGGTTGGTCAAGCAGGACCTGCCCTTCACAAACCCATGCTGGCTAGGCCAGATCCCCCGCTCATCCCGCACATGCCGCATGATCTCCCTCAAGACAACCTGCTCCATAACCTTCCCTGGCACCGAGGTCAGGCTAACAGGCCTGTAGTTTCTTATAAATGGGAGTCACATTGGCAAGCCTCCAGTCTTCTGGGACCTCACCAGTCAACAAGGAGCGCTGACAGATGATGGAAAGCAGCTCGGCTGTCACCTCCGCCAGTTCCCTCAGCACTCTTGGGTGGATCTCATCTGGCCCCATCGACTTGTGACAGTCCAGTTGGAGCAGTAGGTCTCTGACTGTTTCCTCCAGAATCACAGGGGGGTTAGTGTGCTCCCCAGCCGAGATTACCAGGTCAGAGAGAGGAGTATCCTGAGGATAACTGGTCTGACTTTTAAAGACAGATGTAAAGAAGGCATTCAGAACCTCCGCCTTTTCCTTATCCTCAGTGGTCACATTCCCAGCCTCATCCAGCAAAGAGTGGATATTCTCCTTTGTCCTCCTCTTACTGTTAATGCATTTATAAAAGAGTTTCTTATTCCTTTTCACCCCAGCGGCTAGATTAAATTCAAGCTGGGCTTTTGCCTTTCTGATTTCACCTCTACACATCCTAACGACTTCCTTATATTCATTCTGAGTGGCCTGTCCCTCTTTCCACAGGCAGTAGATTTTCTTTTCTCCCGGAGCCTCAAGAATAACTCCCTATTCATCCACGCCGGTCTTCTTCCCCACCAGCTCATTTTGCAGCTCAGGGGGACTGCCTGCTCCTGCGCCCTTAAGACTTCCTTCTTGAAGAGCAACCAGCTCTCTTGGACCCCTTTACTTGCTAAGACTGAATGCCAGGGGACTCCCCCTATTAGTCCCTTGAACAATTCAAAGTCCGCCCTCCTGAAGTCCAAGGTAGCAATTTTACTATTCCCCCTCCAGGCTCCACCATGAATCACGAAGTCTGTCATTTCATGATCACTCTGTCCAAGACAGCCTCCAACCTCCACATCCCTCACCAAACCTTCCCTGTTTGTGAACAGCAGGTCTAGTGGGGCAGTTCCTCTCGTGGGCTCTCTGACCAGCTGTATCAGGAAGTTGTCCTCTACGCATTCCAGAAACCTCCTAGACTGCTTCCTCTGTGCTGTGCTGTACTCCCAGCATATGTCAGGGAAGTTAAAGTCCCCCATGAGGACAAGGGCAGGCGACTGTGCAGCTCGTGCCAGCTGCTTATAGAATACCTCGTCTGTCTGTTCATCCTGATTTGGAGGTCTGTAACAGATGCCCACTAGGGTGCCTGTCTTGTCAGCCCTTCCTCTGATCTTTACCCATAGGGATTCAACGTTATCGTCCCCACTCATAATCTCAGTAGCGTAGAAGCATTCCCTAACATAGAGAGCCACACCGCCACCCCGCCTTCCTTGCCTATCTTTCCTGAAGAGTTTGTAGCCATCCATTGCAGCGCTCCAATCGTGGGAGCAATCCCACCACGTTTCCGTTATGGCAACTGAGTCATAGTTTGCCTGCTGCACAATGGCTTCCAACTCTTCTTGTTTGTTGCCCATGCTGTGTGCATTAGTGTAGACGCACCTCAGCTGAGCCCCTCGCCTCTACTCAGCACTGGTGAGGCCGCACCTCAAGTACTGTGTTCAGTTTTGGCCCCTCACTACAAGACATTGAGGCCCTGGAACGTGTCCAGAAAAGGGCAATGAAACTGGTGAGGGGTCTGGAGCACAAGTCTTATGAGGAGCAGCTGAGGGAACTGGGCTTGTTCAGTCTGGAGAAGAGGAGGCTCAGGGGAGACCTCATTGCACTCTACAACTTCCTGCAGGGAGGTTGTGGTGAAGAGGGATTTGGCCTCTTCTCCCAGGCAACGAGCAGGACACGGGGCAATGGCCACAAGTTGTACCAGAGGAGGTTTAGGTTAGACATGAGGACAAGCTGTTTCTCTCAGAGAGTGGTCAGGCACTGGAATGGCTGCCCAGGGAGGTGGTGGAGTCGCC